ATTCGTGTTCGGGGGGGAGGTCGTACTAGGTGTACCGTAGGGGTAAGCGGGGGCGAAGATGAGGGTTGGGGAGATGTAAGAGTAGGGGTTAGTATGTGATGCGTTTGCACTTCACTACGGAGTCGATGGCGAGCACAATTTCGCTGGCACCGATGATTGCGCACTCTTCCAACGTGGGCAGATACGCTGTCCACTTTGCTGACACTTCCAGCTGCTTGGCTGGCCAGATTCTTCCAGCTTTGGGCGGGGCGTTTTCGCTGCCGATGGCGGCTGAACCTGGGTACCGTTTTTTTTCTCGTTCCTCCCCTTGGTCCTCCCTGGCTGTGGAGGAAGCAGGTGTCGTTCGCGTTCGTTTGTTGCTTCGTCCTCGGCTTGGCGGCTGGGAAGAATAACTCCGTCCGCGGTGGCCGTCGACGTGGTGCTGGTAGCTGTGTCAGTTGAGGAGCGAGCTGGCTCGCTGTCTCGTCTCTCGGTGGTGGAGCGATTGGGGGAGACGCTCACGCTCGAGGCGTGATCTGTCCAGCCGACGTCCCCGGTCGGCTATGGTGCCGGATAAAGAGCTCGATGGTGGGGCTCGCGCTCGTGGCATGAGCTGGTATGCGTGCAGGGGCGATGGCGGCCGCGTTGAGCCGCCCCTTTTGCGAAGTTCGAATACGGGCCGGGCGCTTTCGCGCGTGGCGGCGGGCTGGCTGGAGTCGGGTGCTGGACGCGAGCGCGAATCAGCGCTGCGTAGCGCTACCGGACGACACGAGTGCGATTTCTTTCTATAGTCTGATTGCATTCTATTCTATAGCTACTCAGAATTTTACTTCGACAAACTTCAGAAAAACAGTCTGCTACAACTAAAAATGCCACCACCGAAGTCCATGAATGAATCAATAACAAATTTCCTCTGATTGTCATCCACCTGTCACATATCATCTATTTGACATCACATATCCCCTCGACAAATTATAGATCACCTATCCCTTAACGTCTGTCACCCAAGACCTACTGCCGTAAGGGATTACCCTACACCTATTACCTTATCAACAGCTGACCGCCTGTTACCTATCATCTTTAGATTCTCTATTACCGATTCCCAATAGACTGCCTACTTGCAATCACTTTATTTCCAATAGTTCGCCTATCACTCGCCGACTACCACGCAATGCCCCGTCAGCAACATATGACTGAACACCAATAGATTCATCATAGTCCGCTTTTACCTATCATCTTATGACTACTGTGGATCGACCTTTTCTGCTGTGCAGCGACTTGTTGTGTGGAGTGCCTCGCCTGCCCCCCTGCTAAGCAGGGCGAGTAACCCTTTATGCTGTGGAGCGACTTGTCATGTGGAGCGACCTGCCTATCCTATTCTCTACTGCCTGCGGTTGAGGGGTATCGTTGTGCACGTGGAACCTGTGACTGGCAACAGTTGCTGGTCTGCCAGGCGGAATGAGAATTGGTTGTTTTGATAGTGTTGTTGCTCATCTTGATGACCCCTGCGTGCTTGGCTCCTCGCTGATGCAGATTACCCCGTCTTAGTCAAGGAGTGGAGCGATTGGTGCTATCATTTGATGGATCTTGTAATTAAAGGAAAATTAGTCTGTTGGTTTTGTAGTGTTTCTACTGGAAAGTGCTCTTGGTGCATGTGAGTATAGAGGAAGAGGCGGGGATCATCTTAGATGATGGGCCTGATGCCACAACCCACATTAGGTTTGTTGTTTCTAGATGAGCTTCACCTGCTGGGTTTACAAAACTACATGCTGCACTAAATTACGGCAAAGA